TGGGAGGCATCCTCCTGAAGATCAGACCTTGGCAAGATGACCAGATTCACTACAGTAATAAAAGATGTCTGGTAGAGATGAGAAAATGAGCTGGAACCCTCTATCCAAGGTAAAACGACCTCTGCCATAGCTTATCCTTTCACAACCCCAATCTCCACCAGGTGAGCATTCCCTGGCCCAGTGGCCAAACCATTCACACTTGAAGCACTCATAGCTGCAGTCAGCTTCTGAGTCTTAGCTCCCTGCAGGAGTGGAGGCTCCACCACAGCCCCAGGAAGGCGGTTCTCCAAGCAGTGGCTGTTTCTTTCTTTCTTTCTTTCTTTCTTTCTTTCTTTCTTTCTTTCTTTCTTTCTTTCTTTCTTTCTTTCTTTCTTTCTTTCTCTCTCTCTCTTTTCTTTCTTTCTTTCTTTCTTTTTTTTTTGTTTTGTTTTTTGGTTTTTTGGGTTTTTTTGTTGTTGTTTTTTGTTTTTTGAGACAGAGTTTCTCTGTGTAGCTTTGCGCCTTTCCTGGAACTTGCTTTGGAGACCAGGCTGGCCTCGAACTCACAGGGATCCGCCTGCCTCTGCCTCCCAAATGCTGGGATTAAAGGCGTGCGCCACCACCGCCCGGAGGCTGTTTCTTTTCAGGCTCCTCAGCTGCACCATACACAGGTCTGCCATGTTGCCAGTTCTTGGTTTCCTAAGCTATTGAGGTATTTTCCAGAAAGTCCTTGCTATGTTGTATCTTAAAGTGTTCTCCCTTTCATTTTTGTTTGTTGAGACAGAGTCTCATGTAACCCAGATTGTCTTCAAACTCACTATTATAGTCAAAGATGCCCTTAAATTCCTGATCCTCCTTCCTCCACCTCTCAAGTGCTTCAGTAAACAGACTGCAGACAAAGAGCCACCAGACCCAGCTTTTCCTCTAGTAGTCTCAGGCTTTATATTAAGGTCTTTGTCCATTTTTAATTCATTTTGTACAGGATAAGACAGAGCTCTAGTTAATTCTTCAACATATGGATACCCAGTTTTCCCAGCATTTTTTTTTTTTTGAAGAGGCATCTTCTCTTCCATGGTTTTTAATACCTGTAGCTCCGTGGATGTGTTAGTTTCTGTGTCTTCTTCTTTTTTTTTTTTTTTAAAGATTTATTTATTTATTATGTATACAGCATGTATGACTGCAGGTCAGAAGAGGGCACTAGATCTCATTACAGATGGTTGTGAGCCACCATGTGGTTGTTGGGAATTGAACTCGGGACCTCTGGAAGAACAGTCAGTGTTCTTTAACCTCTGAGCCATCTCTCCAGCCCAGTTTCTGTGTCTTCTATTCCACTGGTCTATGGTGTCTGGTTTTGTACGAATGTCATGCATGCTCTTGGTTAGACTACTCTTCAAGTATGGGGTTTTCTTTCTTTCTTTTTTTTGTTTGTTTTGTTTTGCTTTCAAGACAGGACTTCTCTATGTAGCCCTGGCTGTCCTGGAACTCACTTTGTAGACCAGGCTGGCCTCAAACTCAGAGATCCGCCTGCCTCTGCCTCCTGAGTGCTGGGATTAAAGGTATGTGCCACCACAGCCCAGCTAGAAGTATGATTTGAAACCAAGTCCTACTTTGCTCTTTCTGTTTAGGACTGTGTGTTAATCAGGTTCTGTAGATGGTCAGAATAAACAGAATGAATGCTTATTTAACAGAAATGTCTTAGATTGGCTTACATGGTATGGGCTGGGTATCTGCAGGTTCCAGGTTGAGAAACCAGCAGTTGCTCAACCCACAAGAGTAACATCTTCAGCATTCCCAGTCTGTGGCTGAAGACCTGGAGGATTCCTGGAGAGATGGTGGTCTTCTGTCCAATTCAAGTGCTACAGAAGCTGTGTTATGATGTCTAAGGATGGCAGGAACAACTGACAGGAACAGGGTAGGCTATATGCACTCACCCACAACGAGCAAAGGCAGCACTGGTTTCCCCTCAAACTGCTTTATGTCTAGGCTGCCAGGGAAGATGGGGCCCACTCTTGGAGAGGCTCTTCCCCAACCCCAACTAACCATTCCACAAAGTATCTCACAGATCCAACCAGAAGTGTTTCTCTTACTCAGTATCAGACATAATCACACTTACAACCAAGATCAGTCATTATACAAGACTTTGACTTTTCTTGGTCTTCTGTGTAATTGTGATTTATGAGACAGGGTCTCATGTACCCCAGGCTGGTTTTCAGCTTGGTATAGAGTTTAGGATGACCTAGAACTGAAAATCTTCTGCCTTTACTTCCCAAGTGCTGACATAACAGGTATGTTCTGCCATGCCTCCATTCCCTAACTTCTTTCTCAGCAAGTTCATTACTGGGCACACAGACAAACGACTGAACGCTGAGCGTGGTGCCCTCCCTAAGTCTGTAACCCCACACTTGGGAGACTGCAGCAAGAGAGTCACTGCAAGTTTGAGGGACACTTGTTGGAAAACATTAACAAGAAATGCAACAGACTTTTACATGTAGAGTGATTCTGTATCCTGCTACTGTGCTCAAAGTGTTTATCATATCTAAGAATTTTCTCGTGTTGAATTTGGGGTATAACATCACGTCATCTGCAGATAGGGATAATTTGACATCTTACTTTACTAATTGTATCCTTTCTCTTTTTTTTTCTTAGCCATATCACCCTAAGATTTCAGTCATTATACTCAATAAGAGTAGATATAGTAGACCCAGTCCTAAGAGGGAATGCTTCCAGACTTTCCCCATTTAGTATAATGTTGGTTTAGAGGTTTGTCAAGGAAAAAAACAAAAACAAAAACAAAAAACAAATCCCACCTGCCACAGTGAATGTGTGGAGGTCAGAGAACAACTTTCAGGAGTTGATTCTTCTTCCCATTTGAGACCGAGAAAATGAACTCAGGTTGCCAAGCTTGGCACAGAGTGCCATACGCATTGAACCATCTTGCTGATGCCATTCTCTGGATTTTTAAATATTAGACTGTATCACTGTTTTTAAACATCATCATGTAAATCTAGACATTAAGTCACTGTCAATCTGACACTGGGTCTCCCTGTGTAACCCAAGCTAGGCTTAAAGTGGTGATCCTCCTTCCCAGGCTTGGCTTGTTACACTTCTTGGGACTGAAGTCAAAGGCTCTGAGAATGCTCTATGGTGAGGTATAACTATATTCTGCGCATGTAGTTGGCTGGCCCCCAACTTCTGATGTTCCTGCTTCACTCTCACAGTGCTGAGATAACAGGAAGACCACCAAGCCAGCACCTTTTTAAAGTACAGTTGGACATATCATTCTTTATATTACCTAGGCTGGTTCTGAACTCTTGGAATCAAGGACCCTCCCTCAGTTTTTTGTTCTTCCACAGGGTTTCTCTTTGTAGACCAGGCTAGCTTCAAACTTCCGAGCCCACCTACCTATGTTGGAGCTAACTTAGGCCAAGAAGTGATACAAAACAAGACTTAGTTAAGAAAAAAAAAAAAAAAAGTAAAGTAGTCCCAGGTATTAAACACCTTTAAAGACAATCGGGCAATCGCAAGGAGATAAAGACGGTCCCGAACAAGACTACCTAGACCTTCTGATTTTAGGAACCGCGCTCCTCACACCGAGGTCCACTCAGACTGCGTTCCCTCCCTCTCACTCTCCCGAAGGAAGAGAAGAACGATCATCAATGGCAGGAGGCAGCTGCAAAGAAGCAGCACCTAGAGCCGGCTTCACGCTCAGGAGGGAACACTACGTCTCGTCCTCGTGGTCTCGGGTGCTCTACACAGTCAGAGAAACTTCTCTAGTAACGAACTATAGAAATGATCCCTGAAAGTATAGTCTTAACCTCGCTCCGCCGCGCTCCACATGCTCTACCCAGCGCGCTCACATCTTACTGACGGTGAGCTCGGCCAGCCCCAGCCGCCCGCCGCTCTGGCGCGGCCATTACACACAGCTTTGGCACAGACGCTGCCGTGTTCTCCGAGGAACACCTCCGCTACCAAGTCCACGGGGCATCCGAGCCGCTACACTTTTCCAACTCAAGGGAAAAACAAACAAACAAAAAAACCCACAAACCCACTGTCACCTAATTAGCATACGATCGCTAAACAGCCAATCGACAGACGGTTCTCTGCCGCCCCGCCCCACTTCCGCTTGCGTCGGGTCGCGAGTCCCTGACGGCCACCCACGGCCCTGCCGCCCGCCGTGGCGCTGGCTTCCGCCCTGCGGCGCCGGCCTCCCCGAGCCGCCTGCCTTCAGCCCCCATCTGCCCCGAGAAGAGGCGCCGCGGACGGAGCCGGCCGCACGGTGGCCCAAGCCAGAGGCCTTTCGTGAGGAAAACACCGAGAAAGTACGGAGGGAAAATGGCAATTCACTGGCCGCACAGTCTTTCTAATACATTCTGTGGCTGAAAGGCTTGGTGGCCTTATGTAATTACTTATGTAATCCTAGCACTTGGAGGTAAGAGGATCAGGAGTTTGAGGTCAGTCTTAGGAATTTGAGGCCAGCCGCAGCCACATGAAATCTGTCTAAAAAGATTAAAAAAAAAACAAAAAAAAAAAAACAGCGTTTTGAGATACCAGATTTCCTCTATCCTAAAAGAGAAAAGGGAAAAGGGCAAAGCGAAACAATTCTCTCTGGCCACATGGTAATTATCAGCACAATTATTGGATACATACTTGAACTCCTGGCTCCTCTGTGCTGGGATTACAGGCAGGTGCCACACATCTGGTTTTCTGTGTGGTTCTGAGGATGGAACCTCGGTCTTCACATATGCTAAGCAAACACTGGTCCTGCTGAGCTGTATCTCCAACCTCTTTGCTTATTTGTTTGAGAGAGAACTCTGTAGGCACTAGTTTGTTTTTGCCATTAGACAGGATTTCATTATGTAGATTGGCTGGCCTTGAACTCAGATCTGTCTGTCTCTGCCTCCTGAAGGCCAGTTTTAAAGGTGTAGGCCACCAAACCAGCCTTGGCACTAGTTTTTTTTTACACCAAACACTATTCAGAAATAAGGGTCATGTTGCCTCTGCCATCTTAACACTATACTTACCTTTCTTAAGAATTTTCTTCACTTTCACATAATTCCCTTGTTTGGTATATTCATGAAGTTGAGCTTCCAAGGAATCATCTGTTAATGTACCAAGCTGCACCGGACAAGGGATTGGAAAATGAACAGCCCGAGACATTCTGTTTCAAAAGAAAACAAACAATACAGTATTCTAATACCTCACAAACGAAAAGAAGTGAGATCTTTCTCTTTCTTCCCTTGTAAAGGAAAATCCCCTCAGAACCAGGACCCTAAAACAAACCCAAGGTTTCAGGAAATATGCCATCCACTGATTCCCTGAAAGCAGCTAACCCCCACCATACACCAAGGAGCCCAAAGGTTGCAAAAACAGGTGATTTGATTTATCTCCCACCCTGCTGTTTCAAAAACCAGTTTCTCCTGAAGAATAGTTTGAGTCTGGTGAAGCCATCCTCTCTCCCCTCCCACTCTCCACTATAAGAACACAGCACGTTCTCCTGCATGTGCTGCTGGATCTCACTACACCACTCTCAGACCCATAAAAGCCTGCTCTCGCCATTAAAGTCAAACTGAGTTTCTATTTTTTTATTTCCCTTTGCCAGTTTGAAAATGGCATTTTTTCCTTACATTTCTGTGGTCGTTTGAATAAGAATGGCCTCCACAGGCTCATAGATTTGAATGCTTGATCATCAGGGAGTGGCACTGTTCAAAAAGATTAGAAGGATTAGGACTTGAGGCCTTGTTGGAGGAAGTATGTCACTGGGTGTGGGCTTTGAGGTTTCAAAAGCTCACGCCAGGTCCAATGTGTGTCTGTCTGTCTCCCTTCCTCCCTTCTCTCTGACTGCAGATCAGGATGTAGTTCTCAGCTACTGCTCCATAGCCATGAGTGCTGCCATGCGCAGGCCACTACAATAATGAACTAATAACTGTAAGCAAGCCCCTAATTAAATGCCTTTCGTTTTGTCTTGTTTTTTTGAGACAAAGCTTCTTTGTGTATCCTTGGATGTCCTAGAACTCACACTGTAGACCAGGCTGGCCTCGAACTCACAGAGATCCACCTGGTTCTGCCTCCTGAGTGCTGGGATTAAAGCCATGTGCCACCATGCCCAATTTAAATGCTTTTTAAAATAAGAGTTGCCTTGGTCTTCACAGCAACAGGACAATGACTAAGACAACTTCCTTCTTGGTGGTACAGGGAATTGACCCCAATTTCTCACACAGGCCCAGCCAGTGCTCTACCACTGAGCTATATTATATTCCCAGACTTTTGTTTTGCTTTGTTTTTTACTTTTCAAGCCGAATCTTAAACTGCTAGCAGGCCTTGAACTTTCAGTTCTCCTGTTTCAGCCTCCAGAAATAGCTGGGATTCCAGATATTCACCACCAGACCCAGTTTTAGGTTCTTTCACACTTGGAAAACTGTCTTCATTGATGTAGGTGACCCTCAATATCTGAGGAAGAATGGCTGCAGGACTCCCCACAGACACCAACCCAAATTCATAGATGTTCAAGTCTCTTATAGAAAATGGAGGGCTGGAGAGATGGCTCCGAGGTTAAGAGCACTGGCTGCTCTTCCAGAGGTCCTGAGTTCAATTCCCAGCATCCACATGATAGCTCACAGCCATCTATAATGAGATCTGGTGCCCTCTCCTGGCGTTCAGACATACATGGAGGCAAAATGTTGTATACATAATAAATAAATAAATCTCTAAAAAAAAAAAAAAACCAGAAAGAAAGAAAATGGAATGGTATTTGCATGTAAACTATACATACATACCTAATAAACTTAAAATGCTCTCTAGGTTATTTGCAATACCTGATATAAGGTGAGTGCAGTGTGAATAGTTGTCATGCTGAATTGTTTACAAAGATCTAATCCATCAATGTCTATAGTTCTGGGCAAATAATCAAATGTGCTAACCTTGTTTTTTAACCCCTTTAGTTCTGCTTCTGACTGTTTTTGTCAACTGAAATATGTCAACCCCAAAATATGGTTTTTATGTTCAAAGGCTCACCCTGAGAAAGGCTCAATACTACTCCGGAATCCCAAATATCCAGCTGTGGTGATATATTGTGTACCCTAGTAAAATTTGCCTGAATATCAAAGAACAGAACAAGCCACTAGATTAAACATAGATGCTAGGCAGTGGTGGCACACACCTTTAATCCTAGCACTCAGGAGGCAGAGATCTGTCTGGATCTCTGAGTTCAAAGCCACCCTGGATTACATGAGATTGATTCAGTCTAGGAGAGAAACAGAGCCAGGCAGTGGTGGCGCATGCCTTTAATCCAAGCACTCTGGAGGCAGAGCCAGGTGAATGTCTGAGTTTGAGGCCAGCCTGGTCTACAGAGCCAAATCCAGGATAGGCACCAAAACTACACGGAGAAACCCTGTCTCAAAAAAACAAAAAACAGGGCTGGAGAGATGGCTCAGAGGTTAAGAACACTGACTGCTCTTCCAGAGGTCCTGAGTTCAATTCCCAGCACCCACATGGTGGCTCACTACCATCTGTAATGAGATCTGGCTCCCCCTTCTGGACTGCAGGGATACATGAAAACAGAATATTGTATACATAATAAATAAATAAATCTTTAAAAAAAAAAACCAAACAAACAAAAAATTAAAAATCTTATCTTGATACTAAAAAGAGCTTCAATTCAAAATTGTTATCATTATTACAAACTGTTAAAGATGATTAAGCCTTAAAATGTTCAAAACTATAATTAAGTCATTCTAAAGACTAATGTAATCAAGTACAGAAAAAATTTATCTAGCCTCTTATATGTTTTCAAGGTATAGCCTAAACCAAATAACTAAAAACAAACAGGAGTTGTTTAGCTCAAGTCCTTAAACTGTCAAATTTGCTGAAGATGGCACTTAAGATATTTAAACTTATATAACAGACAGAGACTCTCAGATCCTAGCAGCGGCTCCCAAGGTCCCCAAGAAGACAATGGGCACAGCAACAGGCAACTCCACCTGGACTACAGTAATGCTAACCAGCTGACCACTGGACAAGACTGCCCCAATGCCTTGCCTTCTGCCAAGGCCCAGCCCAAACTGTGGACAATCAGGACAATGGAGAGTTGATGCCCTGCTTTGCCTAGACAATGTGAGGCCAGTCTCCCCATATTCCTCATCCCCAGGAAAGCCTCTCATCCTCCGGATCTGGAAGCCAAGACTGCTGTCCTGATGACTCTGCCCTCATCGCCACAGAGTCCACAGGAGCCTGGGATATCTGTCTAAGTAAAGACTATAAACCAGCCTCTGTCATTTGGTTAATCTTTCTCAGATCTCGGACACTGACCGCTAAGCTGACTGTAGCTTTGTTAGCTGGACAACAGCAGGCCATCAGCTCCTTCCCTCAAGGCTGCAGTTATCTTGTTTGTTCATTAGTCAGTTCATTAATTAGTTAAAGCTACTAGGTCTCTTATTTTAAAAAGGTAAACAGGTTTGCCTTGTTCACAAGCTTCGTATTAAAGAATACATAGGTTTCAGATGTAACTTTTCATTAAAAGAACATACCTTACTTACAATGGCTGTTCTCAATAACTATTCCTATCTCTGGTAAAATTCACTTTCTAATGTTAAAAATATGATGCAAAAAAGCATTTTTTTTTTGTTTTTTTGAGACAGGGTTTCTCTGTGTAGCTTTGCGCCTTTCCTGGAACTCATTTGGTAGCCCAGGCTGGCCTCGAACTCACAGAGATCCGCCTGGCTCTGCCTCCCGAGTGCTGGGATTAAAGGCGTGCGCCACCACCGCCCAGCAGCAAAAAAGCATTTTAAAAGAACATAAAAGTGAGTTCCAGGAAAAGGCGCAAAGCTACACAGAGAAACCCTGTCTCGAAAAACCAAAAAAAAAAAAAAAAAAAAAAAAAACATAAAATTGGCTTGGTCTAGTTGAGAGACATGTATCATAGGTTTTTCTGATTATGTCTCTCTATATGTTCCCTTAATATTGAAAAAAAAAAGCCTGACAGGACAATTGTCTTGGACATCTTATACACCCTGTATGACTTGCAAACTTGTCAAAATATATCATTACACTGAGATTTCAGAGGCTTAGAGTTTTAACATTAATAAAAGAAGTTCGGATAAACTAATAGAGCACTGAGTACTCACTATTCTATAAGCTCAAGATTTAAAATTTTCTTTATAGATAGACTTAAAGATGTTTTTCGTCAAGCTAACCCAAAGCCATAGCTTTTTCTATGTCTCCAAGATGTAAATCTGTTCCAGCTGTTTTACAGACACTTGTTGCAAAGAGTCAAAAAGGTCATAAGGTTTAAATCCATCTGTCACAGGTCAATAAAACTCCAGATAAGTAAAAGTTCCAAATATAAGATTTTCTTTTAAACTCCTAAATTTTTAACTTTTGTCCTTAGTCTATATTTGTCTCAGCAGATTTAATAGACACCATCCAGGGAACACCTATGAACTGCAAACTGCTGACCTCTGGACTTGCTGAAAGCTGATGTGAACCAATCCAGCTGATGTAATTGCTCCGTGTCCCTTCACCAGGGACAGCTAACCAGATGCTCCTTATAAATGTCGTATTGCCCAGCCATTGACTAGCCTTTCAGCCCTCCTGGGTCCTGACAACCGACACCCCAATTTCAGCTGGAAGCAGCTACAGAAGAGAGTACATTGTCTCTATCCTTAACAGGCTGAAAATGATAAGTCAAAGGCAAATTCCCTTTGGGGGAAACCTGTTGCTTACGTGTCAATCATTCTGAAGTAGTCCAACAAAAGTAAAACCTTGACTGTGCAGAATGAAACTCATTACACTGCCCCATCTGGATGATGGGTCTGCAACACTGGTTTGACCCCATACGTTCATGGTACTGCTCTGGCCAGAAGTAAAGATGCCACAAGGGAGCTCTGTTTTCTCTTTATCTCTGTCTCTAAATGAGCACCCTTCTTGGAACGTGTACATCAAGACATGACAAACTGAGAAGAGACTCCTGGACGCATCATGGTTGAGTCAACTGGACTGAGCCATCTCCCTCCCACCCCAGTTTCTTTCCTAAGTCCTTTAAAAAGCCCTGATATTTGAAGGCCAGTGGTATCCTATTTCTGGGATCCACTCCTGCTCTAAAGGAGCTCTGTCTTTCTCTCAAGCTCCCATATATGAATCTATAACAAACTTTTTTCTAAATCCATTCTTCTATTGTCCATGAATTTCATTCTTCAAATTCACCTTGTAAGAGCCCAGGGGCCAATGACTCTGTGTAAATTTTGTATAACTTTGAAGTTCTGGCACCCTAACTCCTGAGTTAAAGCCCCCTCCACCAAAGAGAAAGCTTCTGTTAAACTTAAAGACACCCCACTTTCCCTATATTATAATCTTAGAAAAAAGATTCAACACAGATGAAAATATTCAACTTCTTCACCTATTAACGAGGATAAAAATAACCAGAGAGGCGCTGAGAGGTTTAAATGTTAAATACTTAGAACTGCATCTGGCACCCAGTGACTTCTCTATTAATGTGCGTGAGAACGTGGTGCTCTGAATGAGAATGCCCCCATAGGCTCACTCATATGTTTGCATGCATAGTCCCCAGCTGGTGAAATGTTTGGGAAAGATGAGATGTGGCCCTGTTGGAATAGGTGGGGCCTGTTGGAGGAGATGTGTCACTGGGTATGAATTTTGAGATTTCAAAAGTCCATGCCAGCCCCAGTCTCTCTCTCTCTTCCTCCCTCCCTCCCACTCTCTCTACCTCACTCTCTCTGCCTGTTGCCTTCCGATCAGGATGTACAGCTCTCAGCTACTGCTCTAGCACCTCACCTGTCTGATTCCTGCCATGGACTAAGCCTCTAAAACTGTAAACAAGCCCCAATTAAATGATTTCTTTTATAAGAGTTGCCTTAGTCATGGTGTCTCTTCATAGGAATAGAACAGTGAGCAACCAAGACAAAACAACAGAGAAACTTGACCTTTTTTGTGTATGGTACAACCTGAATGAGTCCCCCAATCTCACTGGTGGAAATGAGATCTCCAATGTAGAGGTGCTGGGAGATAGCTTTTTTGTTGTTGTTGTTTTTGTTTTTGTTTTTTGTGTTTTTGTTGTTTGTTTTTTTGAGACAGGGTTTCTCTGTAACAGCCCTGGCTGTCCTGGAACTCGCTCTGTAGACCAGGCTGGCCTCAAATACAGAGATCCTTCTGCCTCTGCCTCCAGAGTCCAGGGACTAAAGGCATGGGTCCCACCACCCAGTGAGACAGAGCATTTAAAGGTGTTTGGGTCAAGGGACACCACACTTAATGAATGAATGAAGGCCTTTTTGCTGCTGTTGTTTTGGACAAAGAGGTTTGTTATCAAGGGAGTGGAATGTATACTTACAAACAATGGTCAGAGCCCCATTTCTCTCTCTCCCTTCCTTCTCTTCTGTCTGCCTTCTGTCATAGGACAAGGCAGCAAGAAAGCCCTCAACTAAACACAGCTCCTCTACACTTCTAACTTCTAGAACTGTGAGAAATAAATTTCTGCTGGGTATGGCAATTAACACCTGTAATAATCCCAGCACTTGGAAGGCCGAGGTAGGATTATCATCCCAAATGCTGATACCAGCCTGGGCTACATATACAGCTCCAGACTAACCTGGGTTATATGGGATCCTTTCTCAAAAACAAAGAGTGGGGCATAGTGGTGCACTCCTGTATTT